TATATATATATATATATATATATATATATATATATATATATATATATATACTTAACTGCCACAAACCTTGGTGTGAAAATCTCCACCTGCTCGCTGAAGTCAAATCACAAATAGTGTTATCTTCAATAAGTTACCAAAATATCCAGATTTCTATTAATATTGATTCCAAAGGGAGAGGTGCTCATTGCCAACACACACTACCAATTATGAACCTCACGTTTAACCAGTTTTCACAGGAAGGCGAGTTCCCAGGACGAACAATGCTGTTCAGAACTTATATCTGATTATAGCCAATTAGCTTGTGAATTAGCCTCATGAAATTTGTATTTTGGAATAAAAGAGAAAGGAACAGGTTTTACTCAGTCTGTTTATGTTTTGTGCAGCAGCATGACTCTAATCCCTTTTAATTAAAGTTTCTAGAAATTAGTTTCTGATGACGTATTTCAAGGTAAGAATTTTCATTTCTTTTTTTTATTATTCTTAAATAAATGTTTAAAAAATTTAACTGCTACAAAGACTATTTTGATGCAAAAAACTGTCCGCCTCAACCTAGCCACAGCCATGATCATATACAGATACAGTAGAGCTATATCCACGTGTACAGATCCAACAAAGTATGTGATAGATTTCAAAATACTTCCAAGCTTATTTTTTAACATAACCTATTAACTGTCCAAAGAGAACTTTCTACAAAGAAATAAATAAGCACTTGTTAGCAAGCCTAAAACACTGCTAAATTTGAAAACTTACAGAAAAAAGTCAGACAGGCCAATTTTGACAAAAATACCCCCCCCCCCCCCCGGTTTTCATAGTCCTTTCCTTACGTGTCAAATATCCTGTCTGTCTGATTGTATTAGAGTCTTATAGTTCTAATCAAATACTAAAAAAAAATTATGTAGTACAATTCTGATGAATGTTTTACTAGTAAATTCCACTTTTACCGATGAAGACCAAGCAAATTTTACATAATTAAAAACAAAAATGTATCCTGGCAATAATGGGGCAAAGGATGCACAAATATTGCAAAATAATTAAAAAAAACTATAATTTCTGTTATTTTAAAACATTTTACTTTCCTGATTTTAAATAATGTATAATATAATAATAAATATAAAGAGTAGCACCTTTGGCAATTAAAATCTCCCAGTAAATTTACAATAAACACCAATTGGCATTTCTAGGATTAACAAGAATGTAATGACCTAAGCAGGAATGGGCCTTCCCAAAATTAAAAAAAAATCCAATGTAACTGTTTGTTGTCTAATATATTTTCAGCATTTGGACTCATCTGTCAACAATGTGCTGGATTCACCGATCTCCGTCACTCCAGTCTGCGGGACGCCATTGATAACCTTGTGTGCACAAATATCGACAGAAATTCTGATGGCTTTGTGAAGTGTCCCGATGATGCCCACTCCTGTTACGCCAGCTTGCAGATACAGGCCACTTATGCCACAGGTGGGTAAAATTATTACACTAAATATCTGAATTCATATATTATGAAAAATACTCCACGACACCCACTATTTTCACATCCATATGAAAAATTAATACTATATTTTGTCCCACCTGTCTGTTACCACTTAGATACTCAATTACTATTGCTTTTAATTATCTAATAAATATTCACTCTTATGACCAAAACTTATTTTATTAAAAAAAAAAAACATTTTATTTATAAATATTTTATGGGGGAGTTATGTTATAATGGCTCCAAATTAACAGTAACACTATCACATTATGTTCTTTTCCTTGCAACTGTTCACTCTCTGGACCCGATCCTGTTCATCATCAATCATCTTTTAACACATCAAAGAAAACAAATCCCAGGGCTATGTTATTGCTAGTCATTTCTGATGAATGAAATATAGCACAAATTATATTCACTAATGTACCACAGAAATTCATAAGGCAAGATTCAATGCAGACAGGTGTCTGCAGTGAATGTTGCAATTGCTTTGAATTCGTAACTATTGCACAAGTCTTCTGTACTTCATGTCAAATTTACAAGAACCAATCAATAAATAACAAAACCATTTTAATAATACTCTTGCAGCGTATACAGGGAAAGAACAGCATTTTTACACTGGGTCTGTTGTCAAAGACTGCCACCAGGGAAAACCACACAAGACAGCCTGCAAGCCAAGTCTGGAGGCAGGATTTCACTGCCAACAGGGTTGCAATGGGGACAAATGCAACCAGAAATTCTTCTCAATTCCTTTCATAAAGTCTCAGCAGACAACAACTGAGCTGATGATTCGCTACAAAACTGGAGTCATTGTGGAAACCATGCATGTGAAAGATGGCAACAAACTCAGAAAAGGAAAGAGTAATTCTAAGGATTCAAATCATGCCAAGAACTCTAGTTCAAGAACTCATACAAATCTTTTAAGTATCATGATAAAATTACTAATACTGGGGCATTTTTTAAAGGATGATGGTGACTCAGTCACTTAATATACTAGAATTCTTCTTCTCATTTTATATTATCTGAAAGCATAAGACACCAGTATGAGGTGATTATCAAAGATTCGAGAACTTAATTCTAATTCTGTTTTGTTTAAATGTGTTTTTAATTTGTTAAAAGGAAAATAATGAGATGAGATAAAGATGTTAATCATCTGTTTAAGACATGCATTCATGCATGAATTAATGTAACCAAATACGAAGAAACATCTGTTGAGAAAATGATGAAATTGCACAATTCTTTTTCACCTTCTTTTTTACAGCAATGATATACCAAACTGACAGGCAATTTTAGGGGAAAAGAAAGGGGCAAGGGTAAAAAAAAAGGCAATGTATCCCAATATAAAAAACCATATATTGAAAGAACAGCCATGAAAACTGGTTCTTCGACTACAAGATACAGCTGTCTAACTAATCAGTAAAACTATTGCTAAGTTTAATAAATCAGCTGTAAATAGGAATGTTGACAATTGTGAATCTTGGATTTGCAATTCTGAATCAGCAGGAAACAACAAAGAATGTGCAGGCTCAAGCCTTCAAAGTTTGTTTAGGAAAAATTAAATAGCGTAGACAACTGTAAGGTCATACACATGTCATCTTTGCATGTCTTTTCTTTTAATCACTTATTTAATTAGAATAAGAATTGTGTTGCAAGTTGTAATTTTTAGCTTAATGCTTAGAACCAGAAATAAAATGCTCCATTTTTAAACTTGCTCACCACACCCTTCCTAATTATTCTTCCTAATAGTATTATCACATCTACTGGCAGAGCAACCTTGAATTGCATAGCTAATAATTAGAAATGTTCAAAAGCAAACTGGATACTTTCCTTGGTTCAGTTCCCAATGACCCCCTAGTAGTAAGATACAATCAAACAATTCAGGCAATGATCAGCCAGCTGTCCTGGATCCCAATGCCAAGACAATTATTAAATAAGTTCACCACTAGCCCTCATGCTGGCAGACACCATAAGGTGCCATTATGCTTACCCCATTAAATTGTTTTTATCCCTACACAGTATCAGATTTTAATTCCACTTTAAAAGCCTAATTTATAAATATTTTAATGTCCAGTACTTTCTTTTAGTTTTATTTCTCAAAAAGGAAAACAATTTCAATATTTATATTCATAAAGCTACTAGCAACACACTTACGTTTAGGATCTGTCGTTATCCCACACATGCGCAGATAATGAAGGCGCTCGTGTTTTGGCACGAATGTTCTACAGCTTTTCTTTCCTTTCCATCCACAGAACAAGACTCGACACTTGTTGTCATCATCTGGGCTGAAAGGACAGGTAATAATAATAATAATAATAATAATAATAATAATAATAATAAAATAGCATTCAAAATACTCTCTTTTTCAAATTCATTGGAGAAATCTGCAGTGAAAATTTAAGTAAAGCATCCATCAGTTTACTGCTAAAAAATTTGATGCTAGCTCTTACTTTTGGTCTTACAAGTTTAAACCAGCTTGCATTTAAATGGGATTGAGACTAAAAACAATTATCTCCAGTCATATTATATCAGATCTTTGTCACTCAGTCAAAATAATTTTTCAACCCTTACTAAATTGCTGAATTTCAACATACAGAACAATTAAAATGCATAACATGAATGCCTTCAAAGGTCTACCAACTTATAACAAAAATTTGGACCTAGGAAGTAAGAACCAAATTAAATAATTATTAATAAGTTTATAATGAATGTAATTCAATAAATACCTGTCTTCTTGATCAAAAATAAATATGATGCTTCCTTGTGCTGAAAAACAAATATATGTGAAAAGCAATCATTACGCCCTATTATGACAAAACCATATGGTTGGGAGCTAAAGTGTGTCAAATATTTCGTGTAATGCTTTATTGTGAACTTTTTATTTCTACTCTCAATTTAACAAGACTTAATTTCTTTCTCTTTGAGAGCAGGAGAAATACAATGCATTAAATAGACACTTACAGATTGGTTTAAGCTCTTCTTGTGCTCCTAGCGACATCTTTCCTATAAAAGGATTTTCTTGCAGTAAAAGTGTTAGGACATCCTCCTTTGTGATGTGCACCCTTCTGGATGTGAAGTACGGAAATATTGTGTTGATACCCTGAAAATATGTTTTACATTTTCTCAGTTACAACTCTATATTATTTCTCTGCAACCATTGGACCAAAGTTAATTGGAAAACATCCTTGCAATGAATAAAAACTGGTGTGGATGAATAAAAATGTGTGTCGAGTTACCAACCTAAAACTACCAAAAAAATCCCTGCATTTTTTTTATAAAAATAGAAATATATTGTAGTGTACATGAATTAATTTTTTTCAGATGTCCTTTTATCTGAATTAAGTAAACTCATAACTGATGGAATTGCTAATGAAGCAAGGTGTATGATAAGATTGAGTTATTTGGTGGACAATGGTGCATAATATGTAAAGACATTTTAGTTTACCTCCTGTGCCAATCTAAAATCACAGTCCACCTCTTCTTTTTCACTTCTGGCCATTAACTTAATACCAGTGTTGATAAACTAAAAGAAAAAGAATGTAAATATTAACTGTCAAACAACACCTAGCACATGTTAACTAAATTAAATTTTATGCTGTTTTTTTAACATCAGTCTTTAATTATCATTTGTAAATTAATAAGATTTGTCATTTATTGTACGAGTCTTGAGAATTTCGGCTTCATGCCAGATTTTGACCAATCCGAAAGTTTACATAGACAGATACAGGAATGAAGACCCACACGTGAAAATATTTCTCATTTTTGACAGAATAACCACATCTAATAAATATTTGTTTTAATTTTTTCACCATGCTAATGAGACTCACGATAAAAAATCATGCACTGTTTAAGATCATGGCAAAGTCACCCAATTTTGCTTTGGTAAGGACTCATGTGCTGCCCCCTTCAGTTTATCATTATTAGGTACTCACCCGTATTTTGTCAGTATTGTAGGTCACCATACGTTTGACAGCATCTGATGTGAAGTAAATGTTGCGCTTTTTACCAGTCTCTGATCTCACCAACAACTGAGTATGCGGGAAGTCATTTGACACAGAATAAAAATTCCTGTGAAACAAAAATATTATAATCAAATTCCTTATTTCTCTTCAACAGTGGGTGAATGTATTGGAAGTTATCTGACAATAAAAACTTAAAAAAAAAACTATTGATATCCTTCTTAAAGTCTATAGTTCTTCATTTTAAAATACTTGCACACTTTCTTCTTACTTTATCTTTTCCCAGTCTGGTTCATCCTCATTGAAATAGAAATATGGATCTTCTTTGTATCCACTAATCTTTGCCTTTTTTGAATGAGGTTCAGAATTGGGTTCTGGTGGCTTTCTGAAGTGCACAAATTCGCCAATGTTTATTTGATGAGTATAACTTTTAAGGAGTACAAGAAATGCAGGGGTTTCATTTGGCTTTCTATGTAACATACTGGTAAAGAATGATGAGAGTTAAATCTTATGTTCAAAATTTATTCCATGGTTACCATTCTTAAGAGAATAATTTTTAAGTTTTTCCTCATCTGTGAATGATTAGGATACAACAATTTCAGTTTAAAAAATTACAACTTACAAGATTCCTTCCTCCTTTTCATCATCATCATCATCCCTTTCTTTCCTCTTCCTGATGTCAGCATCATCAGCTCCCTCTGGTGGTAAATCAGCAGAACTATCCACAGGCACATCTCCATTGCTTGTGTCTGATTTTGACACTGAATCATTCTGCACTATTTCAGATTCATTTACTGTTATTGCTGTAGAAGACGGTGGTATTGGAGTTCTAACCCACGGAAGAACGTCTCTTTTTTCAAGGACAGCAATGAAAAAGCCACCTGTGTTCTGATGGTGTGGTAATACTCTCATACTAGAAAACAAATAAATAGTGTTTATATTTATGTTAATAAATAAATAATACTCTGTTGCATATACATTATACAATCCAGTGGCATGTTTGCGAAAAAAAAAAAAAAAAAATTATCCAAAACCCTGTGCGTTTGGCCTGGTAGTATCTATGAAGATTTTAATCAACAGTGCCAACTACTCTTAGACTAACCAAATAAACATGCCCTTGTAAATTTATTGAAAGCATTTTAGTGTTTTATTATTATCTTAATCTTGTCACTTTTTAAAATATAGTTTTAGAAACTATATAGTTTTATGTATGTGTATGTACTCACCTCTCTGAGGTGGTAAACAAACAAACAAACAAACAAACAAACAAATAAACAAAACTAAACAAAGTTTTGATGCATTTGCAAATTCAAACGTGATAATTCTGCAGCACAATTACAAGTGTGATCCAGACACTATGAATAAGATAAAAAAAATGGACAGCCAAGTTTTTTTTTACCATCTCTCTAAATGCAACTGTTCTGCCACTTCAGGAGAAGGAGGAAACATTGTTCTTCCTGCCAAACCAGTGAGTCCCGCTGCCTCTACCTCCTCAAAACTGTTAAACCAACTGCTGTCTTTTCTGTGGAAGATCTGAGGGAATAAATAAGTTGCACCAAGGTAAATGTCAAAGGCATACTCATTATATAAATGAACTTATAAATAATTTTGTGAATAAAGTAAATAATGAATGCTATGTGGTTTACAAAGACATTCTTTACACAACATATTAATACAAAAATAAATGTTGTATAAAAATGAAATGTTTATGGAGCGACAGATTGTTAGAATGATAGTTTCATTTACTTCTTGAATTAAAAGAAGGATAACAGAGTTATGTTGCAGTATGGTCTTCAGTGACAACCAATGTGCAAGCATTTGTTAACAGCAATGGATTGGATTTAACTCTTCTGTTAACTCCCCCAATGTATTCTTTTTCTCAAACCAACTTTACACTTTTCATTATAGTATATTATAAATCTGGCACTACAGTCCGTGAATATGACCCAAAGTAAACTAAGATTCTGAGTGAAGTGAAACAGTGTGTTAAAAACAGTTATAATATATATGAGTCAATAATGATAAAGTATTTTACCTTCCAAGATTTCAGCCCAGGCATGGTTTTCAGGCCAGGTAACTTATCTGATGCATCCACTAATTCCACAGAACCTACATATTAACACATAAATGAGATCAATACAAAATAAATAACAGAATGATGAAAAAAATCAATCAAAAATTAAGAAAAAAGAGTATAAAAGTTATCCTTGCCAATACCAAACTCTTACTCTAACTACCAATAATTTCTTTTCATGTTACACTGATTACTTCTTAAAGTCTCCATCAGTTCTCCACCCTCATTATATTTTCAAGCCCATCCCTGATAGGTTCACTCCAAGAATTGAACCTGATGCTTATTACAGTATATATCAATAATGCCTTTATGACATTATAGTTGCTCAGACTAGATATCCATTATATCATCTATATCAAAATAAACAAACAAACAAACAAACAAACAAACAAACAAACAAATTCTCTTAAGTGTTAAATAATGAACATCTCTATTTCAGTTTCAAAGTCCTACTGACCTTCACATTTCTGTAACATGGCCGAGATGACCGCTTCATCTTCCACTGGGTTGAGAGAACATGTGGAGTAAACCAGGCGGCCACCAACACTTAATAACTCCAGTCCTCTCTTTAATACCTTCATCTGTACACTGAGAGACATAAATTTAATATAATATTTTCAAACTATTCTATTTCAACTATGTCTCTCTCTCTCTCTTTTTTTTCTCCCATTTTCATTGTATAATCAAATGAACCACACAATGTGAAGCAAAACAAAACATGGTGTCAATTAAGATGTTCTGAAAGGTGTTAACCATAAAGAATATTCATAATTTTATATGTCTCACTTGTACCAAAAAATGTAAAATATTTTCTTCTTATTGTCAATGATGAAGTTTATAAAGGTAAAACAATCTAATTATTTTAAACTTCTTATTCAAAATAATTAGAACATCCATACAGAACAATTCCTATTTCACTGCATTTTTAATATCTTTTTAAAGAAAATACAATATAAAAGAGGCTGCCTGTGGACATACCTGTGCAATCCAACTGCTGCCTGTGGAAGCCATTTTCTCCAAACATCTGGATTCTTCCTCATTGTCCCATCTCCACTGAAATATTAATATATGGACAACATTTCATCAGGATCTTCAAAGTTTTTTTTGTATGATGTACAAAAGTATTTATATACACTATCATCTGGATACATTTATCAAAATAATCAGTGCAAGTTATTATCTTAGAACCCATCAGATTTCCCCCGATTATAGAAAATGATAATTTAAAAATAACTAAAATACAAGTTTGATTTTTTTGCACATTTAACTGCACACCTTTAGATTATAAAGGCAGACAAAGACCACTAGATCATGGATATCATTCAGCAAATGTTGAAACCATTAAAATTATTAAACTGGACTTTGGCAAGTGTTTGAAAAATATGCTAGGGGGAAACTGACCTGCAAGGTACATCTGCAAGAACTCTGTCATACGTCACAAACTTGAATTTATTTGCTTCATCCTCCTAAAACATTAAGAATTTCAAATCTATTTTGCAATGTTGATATTGGTATTATCTAAATTAATGAATACAACAATAGTTAGCATGTGAAAACTTGGATAAACAGACATTGTGTAAAAGCATGTTTCAACCTTCATAAGAAATACATCTGTCTACAATCCAAAATCTTCATTTTCTATCTATGTTAGATTAAAAACAAGTGTTTAAATTCTCCCCCCTTGCTCTGTCTCTCTCTCTCCCTCTCTCTCACCTGTGGATACATCCTAATATTTGGCATGGTAGTAGCATCATGGTTGACAATCATGAAGCAGGGACTCTGAAGTCTTTTCACCTGGTGAACCATCAGATAGCACCGCTTGTTGTCAACATCATTAGCAACAACAAACCCCTCTGAAACAATATACACAGCCATCATATTCACCTCCCTGTTTACTTGTAAACAACCTGAGATTCAGAGCTAACTTGGAACAAGCCTATGTTAGGAGTGTCCCACTGCAGTATCTGGTAACCATCCACAGGCTTCCTGATAATACGGGTTGGTTTCTAGAACTAAGGGTTATCTCTGTCAGTTACTATTTTAATTGATCAAACTTTGCTGTGTTAACTACATAAATAATAATCACAGCAAACCTTGATCAATCATGAACAAATGTCAGATGTTACCTGGGATAGCCTTAGTCTCATCTGCATGAAGTAATTCAATCAACTGAGCTGTCTTGGACCCTGGAGCAGCACATAGATCAAGAACCTGTGAATATAACAATAATGTTAATGCAAGATGACATGTAGTATGGGTATGGAGTAATACATCTACTCTTGTAATTACCCTTATAATTCACAAACTTCTAACATTTTAGTTTAGTCACTAAAATTGTACACACAAAAAGATACTTGCTCATATAAACCCAACTTGCTTTTCGGTTTCTGGTGTTTTTCGATGAAAAGGTAGTATTTTCACTATATATATATATAGTGATATGTTTTGAACCTCTCTTGCTGATGCTTGAGGTGTTCTAGCATATGTTGCTCAGGTAATAGTGTACTATATCACACTTACCTTGTGATGGGGCTGCACATCCAGCAGTATTGGAGGGATCATGCTTACTGCCTCCTGTCTGCTGATATTACCCTGGAATGGAGGAAATATCACAAATCATTGACTGTACTTCTCACACTGTGTTCAAACAGAATAATAATAGTTCAAACCAATACAAACAATGGCAAAGAATTTCATTTTCTACCTCTACGAGTGAAATTTAACAATGTTAACTCTTACAAAAAAGACTAAACTGTATATGAAACTTTCACGCAATGCAAAAAGTGAATAATAGATCATATTTTGCTGTGGATTTCAGTAACTGCTCATTAGAATTGTTTCAAACTAGAAAAATTTATGATAACATAAAGGAAAGTGAGTCAATTGTTCTTTCTCTCAAAAGCCTGCATATTATCCATTTAAAATCAAATGTGAACCAAGTTAACCTTACACTTTCTGTTTCAGAGACAAGAAAAGTGTGTAATTTCTTAAGTAATGGTGTTGACCGGATTTCCTTTCTGCTGACATTTATCTGCCATGCAAGGTTATCTGGATACCTGTAACAAAACCTGAGACATCAGAAACACAGAATTTGCCATGCAGCACCTAAAGGATAGAATAAACTACAAGAACTGTCATATCTTACATGGATTATCTCCCTTGAACACTTTAACAAAGTACTAAAACTCCTTTTTGAACAAATCTAGATAATCACTGTATTATCCTATTAGTATTTTATTTTCATTCTGTATCTTTTCTAATAGTCTTACTACTAACATAATATCTGACATTTCACTTTTAAATTAACAATGTTATCTAGGTTTAAATTTAGGATAATACAACCACATTTTTAAGACTATTATATAATTAATTTATTGAATGTACTATACACATTTTTTTCTGTCAGAAGAGAGAGAGAGAGAGAGAGAGAGAGAGAGAGAGAGAGAGAGAGAGAGAGAATCACTTGCCATGGCAGTAACTTTGGTGGCTGTACCGAGTCGCCAACCATGTTCACTAGATTACTGAAATATTCACTCTTGATCACATCTAGAAGGCGTTTAGCTTGGCTGGAATGAAAATTGTAAGACAATTACAGGTGGGAGCTTTGAAAATCAAAAAAAGTTGCACCATCGACAATGAAAATGATAATTATTATCTTATCTTGATGCAAAATTGGAGCTGGACAAAGACAGAAAGTGAAGTCAACTCTGACCAGACAGATATATATAAATGTCTGCATGGCACATGTAATTGTCAAATTACAAGATATGCTCATTATATGCTAATTATATGCAAAAGATATGCTAATTTATGGTTATACATTTTGTCCTCCAAAAGCATCATCCAGGTCCTTAATTGTGTGCAGCCAGTTTCAGACTAAAATTTTCTAGTGTTTTCTACACTGGTATGTACATGTATACCTCCTGTAGCCTGTGATCCTGAATGTGACTGGTAATTCTTTTCTCAGTGTGCTCATGAACTGATCCCACTCTCCATCTGGTACAATACCCTGGCCCTAAAGGTAAGTAGAATACAATAAGTTGATCATGTATTTTATCAAATAAACCATGTACTTGTACATTAAGGTTGCTTTATTTTTCAAAATTATACGTACCCCCTGAGTGAATAATTTACACAGAGCTCGAAGATCAAAAGGTTACAGACTAGCTTCTATGTAATTCTAACAATGGTTATCCACAATAAGTTGCTTGATTGATTGATTGATAGATCGACTGAGAGAGAGAGAGATGAAGGTGGGGTAGAATAAGTCAAAAAAGACCAACCTTGTAATATTCCTCAAACACTACATTCTCCTTTGGTGGAAGTTCATAGTTCCCTCGAGTACCCTGTGAATTAAATAAAGAAAACTAAGACCAGTATGCAATATGTATAATCTGCTGAGCAGCTTTAAACATAAAATTACCCCCTCCCCAGAAATTGAGGAAAATCAGAGCCACTCCAAAAGAGCGTTTGGCAAAGAAAGGTGTACTTGATGCTTGTAGGATATTGTCCATCATCTCTCGCCTTGAGCTTCCGATCTACATGTAACGACGGCTTTACTACTAACCACACCTGCCAATTTATTAGGTTCCATTTCTAATGCTTCACTACCCATAATAAATAAGAGATTTTCTCGATCTACGTATCGTGTGTGAAGCTCAGGATAATATAGGGTTTGTATATTTTTCTAGCTGAGCCTTAGAACATTCTGACATCTTGTATAAATGTGAAATTTAGTAGAAATCGAAATTAAAGCTCACCCGTTTGTTTTAGTCTAAAGGTTTTCATGTCTAAAATTAAAAGCACATCTAATCTATTCATACAACGTGGTCAAAATAATACAAGTAAGTTCAATGAGGAAACTTACGGGTCTTGTTTGTTGCTGGTCTCTGTCCCGCTTTCCACGTCTCCACTTATTAGGTTTATTTCTCCCCATTATTATGCGTTTCTACAGCATGCAGCAAGCACTGTCCGTGCGTGGTGACTCTTTCGCTTACGGAGGTTTAAAAACAGAGAGACGCAATTGGTAGGGGTTAGATGTATGGGTGAGAAGACAAGCACACCTAACACATTCCCTCCAGCTAATGACGTTGAGCACAGCCTGCAGCAGTTTTCCTGGACGCAAAATTATATAACAGCTGAAATTAAAGAAAGCTCACGAGCAATAACAATGAAAGCGACAAGATAATGCGTTTTTTTTTTAGATTTAATGGGTGTAGGCAATGATATATTAAAGCCGTCGTTTTGGCCTATTTGTTCGTGAAGTTATGGATACATATATGAACGATAATCTTCCCATAGAATTCAATTTCGCGAATGGGGATGATTTAAACATTATTAGAAAATCAATCGAAAAGATAAAAAGCACTAATAAAATATGTTTTAATGAAGTTTCGTACCCTGTGATTGGCCACTATGATATTTTATCTAAATTTTGAAATAATTATGTGCAAGTTAGGCCAAGTCATTTTAAAATTATTAAAATATTGCCCAGGATCTTCATGATTATGACAAAACAAACATGATAATCATTGCGCAACAATGTTAAACTGTTTCGTCACAATTAAACTTCTGTTTTTTATGACGTCAAAACACTCGTCGCCCAGAAACGTAGTGTAGCAACCAAACAGAAAATTTCTGTCTTTACGTTTGCTGTCACGAGATATTATTTCTCAATTATTTCAAAGTATTTCCCGTATTTTATAGTATCGTTATGAGTGACGTTGAACTTTCATTTCAACAACGCACGAGCAAGAAGAGAGGACGATTTCCTGAGACCGATTCACAGTTCTTCAAGAAAAAGAACATCTCCAAAGAGGACAATTATTTCAGAAACGGAATTATCTGTGATATCCCAACTGAAATATTAGTAAAGATTGCCGGGAATCTGGATGCGCCTTCTCTGCTTCATTTTACCTCAACATGCAGGCGTTTTCGAGATTTAGGCCAGGATCCTTATATTTGGGAGCAGAATATTAAGGTAATTTTTTTCTTTTATTTGCAAAATCATTTGTCATTTTACGTTTTCCCGGTAAATTTTGCAAATCCGTATGAGAACAAAATCCACATTATGTGCATAGGCCCGAAGAGTATCTTTTGAAACGGTAAAAACACTAGGTATATTTTGGAAAATTTAGTTTTGTCATTTTACGAACATGCAGTTTCCCAATTTAGTGAATGTGAAAAGGAATCTCAAAAATTAGGAGAAGGCGCTTATAAAATCAACCAACTTCAAACGTAGAGATGAAATAATACAGTATTAGAAAATAAAATGCAGAGTTCGGACAGTGCCTATTTCTAATATTAATATTTAAAACGTTCTTCTTTTTGTTATTCAGCGCACGCATGGTATAGCATTTGGCAAATACATAGCCAGTGTGCCTTGGATTCCTGCCACCTTTAAGGAGATGTGCGTCCTCCTCCACAAAGTGAGCTGTATAAGAGAACTCATTATGGACGGAGAGTATCAGAACTTCCTCAATGAGAGTAAGGACATGATTACCTGCCTGTATGCGTTCGAAAAGATGTTGCCATTCTGGCAGAGACAGCGCCTTCTCTCGACTGATGAAGTGACGAATGTGTTTGCCATGACTTATCAAGAGCTCAGTGGCGAGTATAAATTTCTCTCCTTCTCTCTCACGGCTTTTAATGCAGCCCAAATTTACACATGTATCAGATCTCTGTATTTAATACACTAATTGCCAAAAACTTGGCTCTTGAATTGATAGCGATTTTGCTTATGGCGTTATTCAATATCTCTTATTTAAGCACCACTGACCCCAGTGAAAATGATCTTACCCAGTTTTGTCCATTTTAATATTCATTTATGATACAGAAAATACAAATGCTTTTATTTATGCATTTGACACATCTTTCATTGAACGACGCAAATCTAAAATGCCAAAAATATATAAGTAAATATATTGAACAAAGATGTCAAAATGTATTTCATAATACTCCTTTTAGATTTATACGGCTATTTCTATTGGTTATTTTCAGATTACTTTTCTGAGCTGAAAGATAAGAGAATGAGGTGGTCCGCCATAGTGGACATGAACAACAAGCGGTTCCAAGACCCTGTAGTGGCTCATGATTTCTTTGCTTACTATGTACAGTGTCTCATAGAAAGTAAGCACTCTCATACATGTACACACTGTATTTAAATCTCTGATATTTCAAATAATATTTTCACTCCTTAATACTGTAGTTTTCCAGTAATTTGGTGATTCACAAGTTTGTCGAGAACTCCGTATTGTCAACACATCTACTTGCAGATTAGGGCTTTTGTTTTATCTAGACAAATCAACATTACAACAGAGAAATCATTTTGACATAAGCTTATTTATTTTTGGATACGAGCATCAAGGCAAGCTTAAAAAGTATATCAACGTTAAAAACAACTGACAACACAAAAATGACTTTTGTCATCATACTTTTTATCTGACTTTTCCCTTTAGATCGCGAAGAGATAGAGGACCTGTACCTCGCCTGTAACAAAGAAAAGGTGCTGAGGAAGATGGCCAGACTTCTTGAATGTCACAGAGCCACAGGTTCTCCCGTCTACCGTGCTCTTAGGGACGCATTGATAAGATGTAAGTGTATATAGCGGTAGAATTTCAACCTTTCACCTATCCCACCACTTAAGTTAGAAATTACTAAAGAATTGAAACATTTTAAGTTGATAAAAATCATAGCGTCCGACAGGTTGAGGTTATACGAAGAAAATAGTGAAGATAGAAATTAAAACACCACACAGTTTTTTTGTACATATATGATTAGATGTACTGTAGTGGGCACATATGCTTCTAAAAGTGAATTAAAACCATAGCTTAACATGTGCAAAAATATTAATTACCTTGGTAGTTGGAACATATATGGTTATCAAACACAAGCCGAAAACTTTCATACCTTTAGCTTCACAGAGCTTAACAGTTTTTATTTCATATGTGAAATTTTGAAAATTTTCCAGATTATCGTAAATGCAGATAAAGACGATCATATAGAAATCAGAATCAGAAGTATAGGTTTTGATGAAGTCCATTTATGCAACTCTGCTTATCCCCTTTTCTTTCAGCCGAAGATGAGCTCCGCGCAGACCATAGTTTCTCTGTGGCATTGCGTCATAAACCTACAATGGAGGTCGTCCTGGACCATGTATTTAATACGCACCCTTTCTTTATGGCTAACAAGGACGCAATTTGCGCAGATGACTTTGGTAAGTGAAGCGTTCTTTGTATCTTTTGGGGCGTTGAACAGTGCAATTCTCTGTGCAGTTATCTTTTTTTTTTTTCACAATAGACTCCTGATAAACATTTCTAATATTAATTTATGTGTGATGTCTATGATATTTTTTAAGATGGAAGGAAAAAGTTTTTTTTCATAATTTATTTAATTTTATTTGTTTATTATAATTTTTTGTACTGGAAGTTGAATTGATATAAACCAAGTTTTATACGGTGCGGTTCAACATAGTGTCTGTGATAGTAACAAAATATCACCAACTTTGATATATGGTTTCAAATCTAATTTTTTTTTCTTTTTTCTAATTTCCAGATCTTGATCTTATCGTCCAGTATGGTAGCAACTGTGCTGACCTCTACCGTCTGTTTGACGAGTCCTATGAAAGTTGGTACTTGACAAGCGGGCGCAATCCTGCCTCCGTGTACTCTCACCGAGGCAAAGGAACTCGGTCCCACGAGGTTCAGGCACTGTTCACATCCCTCTTATGGGAACTGCACTTCGATACCCCAGCTACCTCACGCGGTCTCTGGAGCCTCGAAGTCGCCAAAGTGAAGGCCGAGGTTTACTTGGAAAAGTTGTGGCGTTACAGAGACCCTCAGGTGCTTCTTCGAGAAAAGACCGTGGAGAGAATGATTCATACTCACGGCTGGTATCCATATGAGGGGCAGATCAAAGAATCTCCGACATACAGGTAAATCACACTGATGTACTGGTAATACTTTCTAGTTTTAAATGTTATCTGAGCCTGATTTCAATCTTTGGCTGTGCTTTATTTTTTTCATTGTAAAGGAAAGAACAGTACATTCATATCTTGCAACTAGTATATTTTACTTATTTAAATTCTACTTAAAATGAAGGCATCAGTTTTTGGTGATAAATTCATTACTATTTAAATAGAAACTTCTTTGAAATATTCCACAAACGGTCTTTTTAGCACGTCAAATTTATTATCTATTTACATAATATACGTACATAATTTATGGGATTTTATATTTGTAGTGCCTATATTCGGGAGGGGACCTTCTTTGACCCCAGCGCCCTACAGCGGCTGAAGACAGAAGTCTTACATCGCCAGGAGTTGAAGGTCGCAATTCAAGATGTGAATTTTCAACAGAAAGCTCACGGATCTCAGAGGCTGATTGAGCGTCTCATCTCAAGGGTATGCTATTAGACATTTTGGGGAGTTTTACTTAAACACAGTCAACTTGACTGAAGCTTTTTTGAAAACAGACCAAGACAACGAATGTACTTGTGAGCATATCTCAGGCAGCGTGGCTTATCATTTGCTATTTGAATCAAATGTACGCATTGTGCATAAAAATTGGAGAAACTAATTTTTTTTAATGATTTTGTATTTTTCTAGGCAGCCATGTTCAATGCCGTGCCCACGTCTGCACAGTATGGTCCAGAGTTGTTCCGCCTCAGAGAATGTTAAGTTTTGGCTAAGAAAGGCCTATGGATGAATTCCCAAGACTTTAATTGTTAAATATTTTTTGGATTGTGAAGTTATATAATGGGTGGCGATGTGACTAAAAGGCCGCAGTGACAAACGTGAGACATTATAACGAAAACGAAAGTGAAAGTAGACCATGTTCAGATTTAATTGGATTTAATTTGGATGTATGGTACAGTTTTGGGGTCAAAAGAAAATGTCTCTACTGAGACGCTGACGATCAGTGCCATATTGTAAAGACGGCGCTCATCATGATTACATAATCACCATGGTGTCTGATAATTTTTTGTACAATTGAGATGGTTTTGCTCAAATTTTTAATTTGTGACAAAGTTTGACACAATTTTAGTGGTATATTATCTTCAGATTGAAAAAATTGTCAAAGTTATATTTATAATGTCTATTTATGGGATGCAATTTTACGTGCATTTTACATTCCAGTTTTTTTTTTTTTTGGGGGGGGGGGTGGGGTGGGGATGGGAGTGGGTTATTATTTTTTTAACCGTCATTGAAAGGGTTTCTTTATTCTAAGACTTGTTAAGTAAACAATCAAAAATGTATTAATTGTATATTATAAGGTAGAATAATGATAATTTTTCTTAAGAGGTGTTGTTGAGTGCTTTTATTTAACTACCAGCAACCTTTTTTCAATAAATATCAATACAACCCAACACTGAAAGAACATATCAAACTTAAAAAAACAAGCGAGGACCGGGCGTGGACTCCGAATCAGTTGCTTGAAATACAATGTACTCGTACGTCTTCTTTGGATCATATGAACGCTTCAAGGTTTTACTTCGACTAGAACAATTAAAAAGATTAAAAGGTTGTGATATCAGAGAGTTTGCTATCAATTCCCAACGTGCTGCACCTGCGACCCTTCCCACGATTTCTTGCGCATATCCAGCGGCCATTTTGGTTAGTAGTGTCATTGTGTAGCCTACCGGTACTGTGTATAACTGTACGTATCAAACTGCTGTCCACGACCACATATATATATATATATATATATAAAAATGCACATTTATAGTCGAATATTGTTGTGTTATTTTTGTTACAATATATGATAAATCACAAAAATAATAGCCCAATTTCAAAGCAAGGCTGTACAAATGTACCAAGGAAATTAGATAATCAGTATAAATAGGAAGCTAATCACAGTATAAATCTAACCCTTGATATGAAGGCTGTCGGTTCACACGCCTTGGTGAGCATACTACAGGAGTTCATACAACTTATGGTACTCTTCACTGTGAACATGGTCCCCACTAGCGCTTGCTTTTTCATCCTTCTGGCATCTCACTCGATGCTTCTTCGCCAAAATGGCGCTGAGGCAGGGTCAAGCAATGAGGCAGACGACACCTCGCTGTTGGAGCAGACGAAATTGAAAATTTTCGCCCTCGAAGCCAGAATAAAGGCAGATTGCGTCAACTGGCCTGAGCTTCTTGGCAATCTACCGCCAACATCGGCAATTGTTGGGAAAAGGAACACAAATGTCGATTTGACACAACAGGTGATCAACATCCAGGATGCTCAACAACTGTATGGCGACATGACCGCTTTGTACAGGAATTGTTCTCGAGGTAATGGAATTATATGTTTATGCTTTCAGCGCAAGGCAGAAAAAAAACATTGGAACAAACGAGGCACGAGCAAACCCTATTTATATCGGTAAAACGTACAGTACGTACGCTGCACATTTTATGTTTTGCATTTGCTAATGTAAGAAACCGAGATCCCAAGCAGTGTGGATGCCTTGTTGCAATTCAACCTCTGGCTATGGGTGTGCAGAATCTCATTCCTTTGTCTTATTTAGTTACCCTCATGACAAATATCAGACACACATCTATTAGAGTGAAATTATACACTGCAGATTTATATTATGGCTGTCGTTTCTCTGACAAAAATCATATGAGCTGATGGTTATATTCTGAAGTTTATTTTCAGGGCCAAAGCCAAAGAATTGCCCTTCAGAGCCATGTTATAACGGCGGAAGTTGTATTGACGACGCTTTAGGAAGTGTGACTTGTGTCTGTACATCTGGGTTTACTGGGAAAAAATGTCAAACGGCATGTAAGTATTTTAGTGGTCTTTTAGGGGGAGGACCACAATGCCATTCTTACAAAATTAAACGCCTTCACTGCACATTTGGAAATATTTCATGATCAAATCAGCTTAACAATGCACAATTTCTTCTTAGTAAGGGACAGTCTCTAAGTAATCCAATCCAAAACTGACACATATGGGTGCAACTGCATGTACGGTGTGGTACGAATGTCAGTGAAACATTTTATGGTCAGTGTATCATTAGTAGGAAAAAAAATGAAAATGATATTGATGGCAGTAGAATGTTAGGGACCATTCCCACAGATATTTGAATCGATCTATCTTCCTGGGGAGTCTCAATAAATTGCTGTCAACTTGGCCGGCTTAAATGTCTGTCACGCCTATAGTTTTTTTTTTTTTTTTTTGGGGGGGGGGGGAGAGAAGGGGGGTCTATAAGAACGAACACCCATCAGGAAACCCAGGATTCTGCTAGGTTCAAGTACTGTACTGTATGGTAAAGTATGTATTTGGTTGGGAACTATTTCAGAAGTTTGCGGGTGCCATTGACTCCTAATTTCTTTTTATCATTATTTTCAGTGACACCGGTCAGAAATTGCCCGTCTGAGCCGTGCTATAATGGTGGTACTTGTATTGACGACGCCTTTGGAAGTGTGACTTGTGTCTGTAGGCCTGGCTATACTGGGAAGAAATGTCAAACTTCAAGTAAGTATAGTCTATTTCAGGCTGGTGAGAATCAAGAGCATTAATTATATTGATTATTAATGAATCTCGTTTTGAAATGAAGAGAAATATTTATATGTCATTTTACTCAAATTTTCTGTAGGTTAATTATTATTTTGGCCTGTGTTAATTTATTGTTATCGTTATTTCCAGTGACACCGGTCAGAAATTGTCCGTCTGAGCCGTGTTATAATGGTGGTACTTGTATTGACGACGCCTTTGGAAGTGTGACTTGTGTCTGTAGGCCTGGTTATACTGGCAAGAAATGTCAAACTTCAAGTGAGTATAGTATATTCTAATTCAGTATGGGGGAATCTAGAGTATAAATAATATCGATTATTAATGGGTCCCGATTTAAAATGAAGAGAAATGGTATTTTCATCAAATATTTTTACGTTTTTATGCCGGCCTTTGCTAATTTATTGATATCGTTTTCAGTGGAACTGGTCAGAAATTGTCCGTCTGAGCCGTGTTATAATGGCGGAACTTGTATTGACGACGCCTTTGGAAGTGTGACTTGTGTCTGTAGACCTGGCTATACTGGGAAGAAATGCCAGACTTCAGGTAAATAAACTTTGAATATTTCAGAAGGTTGGAAGTAGGTGTCATTGAAACATTTATAATCACATAGGTGAAAAAACATTTGCAATGGATGGATTTATTGGTCAGATTTTTGACAATAAGAATCGATCGTGTCGTTTTTCCTTTTTTTTATTCTGATGATTTACGTCATGCTTTAGTCTAATCTAGTGTAATATCTTTTGCTCGCTACTTTCAGTGACACCGGACAGGAATTGTCCATCTGAGCCCTGTTATAATGGTGGTACTTGTATTGACGACGCTACAGGAAGTGTAACTTGTGTCTGTAGACCTGGTTATACTGGCAAGAAATGTCAAACACCATTAGGGCTGTAGGCTGTGCCCAGAAGCTCTCCCATATAAGACCATACGAGACCGTTCTCCGATGACCACAACTTTGCGTGACATTGACAGTATACTTGACTATATAACCATATCATTTATGGTAATTTCTCGAAAATGTGGTAAAATAACTGCCCGACAAAACAGAATTGATAGAATGTTTTTCTTTTTTAATAACTAGAGAAGCATATGTCGGCTTATTTGAAAGGGTAGCTAATGACATAACATTAACACGTACAACATAAAAAAAGTTATCAAGTTCAACTGAACTTGAAATTACTTTCAGTTTTTACCTGTTAAGATTCACGCTGATCAGAGCAATATAAAAGAATTGCCTTATTTAAGTAAAATGTACGACCTTGAAATATTGTACTTGTCCCCCATGTCGGGGAAATTTAAAAATTCACCAGCAATTTCGATTTTTTCAAGTAAAAATTACATCAGTTGTCAATAGGATAAATTTGCCATTATTTAATCATTTTTACAAATCGAGTTTTGGATTAAGGTCATCATTCAGATTAGCTTCAAACTCGAAGCCCAATTTTCTCTTTATTGAGTTCAGGAAGGGGTCTGTCTCGTGGTAATCCTGGTAGTTTTGCAGTATTTCATCTCCAGCTGTGATGTTCTTAATTGCTACGAGTGCAGCAGCTGAGACATGATGTTGGAACCGCATTGCGTCACTGGGACACGCGACATTTGCATCTTCTTTGCCATGATTAATGTAATTTAAAGGGCCAAAGCTGATGAGGAAACACTGCTTTTTCTTGGTGTCTCTGCACGAATCATTAACTAAGTCACATCCTTCGAGAGTCGACCATAACAGCAATAATACTAAGAAGTCACTGACTGGCGTTTTCGACGCAGGCAAAGCAAGCGAATAGAGCAATTTCCTTGTTATGTCGTCATACGGTATCATCCAACAAGGTTCCCAATCGTCCTCAGCCAATATGGCGTCACATTTGATATCCCATAATAACGTACCGGCGGAAATATTCTCTTTTGCAAAAGCTCCTTTTCCTGCCCCAGGAATGCGACTCTTTTTTATGTCGACTGAGATAAACGCTTTACATCTGCACGTCCTGAAGTCGGTTTCACGTGCCGCTGCCTTTCCACCCCGCTCCAATTCCAAAGACCACAGATACAGCGAAGTAACTCCAACCTATGTAAGAGTATAGGCTACGTGAAGATCAGTTTCACGTAACAATTTTTTTTAAATATCTGAATTATTAATTTAATTTTAAAAAATTGAGACGCGATTATTCTAAAGAATACTGGTCTACAGTGGTTCTAACAGTGCACACTGGTTTAGATCTCAAGGTAGCATAGCTTATTCACAAACAAGAATTACAAGATGGCATAGATTATGATAACTACCCGTGTAGAGGAATGTCCTTACAGCAAAATACTCTCCCAAAAATATGAATAATCGTACATTAAACTGGGCAGAAAAGGAGGAAAAGTGTCTAGGATACTTAAAAAAAGGAAGATCAGTTCCGCTATGAGACCCAACTCTACAATAGAGCCTAAAACAGTTTTTAGTGCACCCAAAGGACAAATCAGAGCAAAAAAAGGCGTACAGGGGTACACCATTGATTGTAAAAATTGTGACAAGTGTTACGTAGGAGAGACCAAACGTAAACTATCAATAAGAGTCATAGAACACAGAACAGAAGTTGAAAACATGGACAATATGATGATTTACACCAGGGACAGAAGGAAAGAATCAGAGGTACAAATGTGGAAATCTGCTCTCACGGATCACTCAGTTAAAGAGAATTATTTCATTGATTGGGACAGCGCCAGAATAATAGATAAAGAAAGTAAAGACTTCGCCAGAGGTGTCAGGGAAGCCATACACATAAGATCTTTAAAGAACTTCCATAGGGACGAGGGGCGCTACCAGCTGGCCCACATCTATGATGACCTCTTGGGCCTGGGGGGCCGTAGG